TATATATATACACACACGTATGTATACAGAAGGAGCATGGGGGGACATGTGCTGTAGTTATTCCGACCCCTCCCAACATTAGTCAAATGGTTCGTTTCTTTTTATTGTCGACCGTTTCTAGTCTACCGGGTGGTGTGGTTTGGGTTTGGGTGGCCTTTTGAGCTACAGCGCCTTGGGATTCCAGGATCTGCAGGTTCTTTGAACACCTTGTCAAACAGGGGTCTGAATAATCGTCATGTGACGCCGCAAGAACAGTTCGAACCCCGTTCTATTTCCTGCGCCCTAAAGTCTTTGCATGAGTGTGATTCCGTTCTAAACCCCATACCCGAAACTCCTAAATTTGGAAGAAGTTGACGGCTGCATGGGTGATGTCGCTGCACCTGTAGCTTCTCGCCTCAGTAGAACCTTGAGCTCGCAGCGGTTGCGATGCCTGACAATCTCAATGCGCCGGCCTTACGACTACCATTTGGGAGTTTCCGAAAATTAGGGTACCCTATTTTGGGGGTCCTTATAATAAGGATCTTACTATTTAGGGTACTATATTAGGGTCCCCTATTTTCTGAAACCCCTATTTGTAATCAGGCCCGATTTCCGAGCGTATTTCGAGACGACACGTGCATTCAGGAGGTTGGGCTTCCACGCCGACGTCTGGAGTGGGCATGCCAGAAACCAAACCTTAAAACCATGAACGCAAAAACCATAAAACCGGAAACTCTACAACCCTAAACCCCAAACCCTGAAATCTGAACCCAAACCCTAAAATGACCTGAAGCTCAGAAGCTGAGCGAAGGCATTCCGGAGAGGTACAAAGTCGAACTCCACAAGGACTATAATGGCTTTTATAAGGCTGACTATAAGCGTTGCGAAAAAGAGTGGTGAGGCTTGGGGTTTAGTGTTTAGGGCTCCGGGTTTACGCTTCGATTTGTTGGTGCTCTGGGGTGTTTAGCGCTCGAGGCAATAGGCCGTAGACTTTGGATTCCCATGGCCCATGGCAGTTTGGAGATTTGCTGAAGCCGAAGGGTCCAAGTACGTACCTAATCGTCATGTACTCTCCCAAATCGTAACCTACATAACTATTATCCGAAACCTAAGTACGTGATTCTTGGGTCCTTTGGACCCTTGGGGTGAAGTTAGCAGCCTTGTGGCGCCCGAAAGCTCCCAGATCCCTATCTTCTCTCAGGGGGTTTTAGGGCTTTAGGGCTGTGCCTGTAGTCTCCATTGTAGTTCCTTTTTGGGTTTAACCAATTATATATTGAGGGTTTAAGGCATCCCCAAAAAGGAACTACAATGGAGACTATAGGTAGGTATCTTCTCTTAGGGGGTTTTAGGGCTTTTGGGCTGTAGAACTTTACGAGTTGGAGGTGTTTAGCGACTCTAAGGCCTTGGGTGTAGGTTCAGCTGTGAATCTTTAACCCTAAACCCTAACCCTAAACCCTGCACCCTAAAAGCCCCACGTCCTCAGATCCCGATCCCAACGTTCCCTCGTCAGAAACCCAGGACTCTGGATCGTGTAATGTAGGGGCCTAAATAAATACTTATCACATGTTTGGGGAGTTCCTGATTATGATTATAGTATAATATACCCCAAAACCCTATTCTAAGCTAATTGTTAAGGCCCCTACATTAGGGTTATGGCGTAGTGTTTTTTCTGGCTTACGGTTTAGGATGTGTGGCTTAAGCCGTTGGGAGATGATTCAACTATACATGGTGTTGGACTCGGAAACAACGGCAGCACCAAGCCCAGCAGCCTTACCCGCACAAAGGGTTCCGCCCAGAAAAAAATGAAGGCTGTAAACTGAAATCCCAAATACTGAAACACAGCATGCCATGCAGAGGAGATGTTCATGCACGCGTTGGCGCAAGCTGCTCGGGCCATTTTACGACCAGCAGAACAAAAGGCAATTCCAGAGCTAGATTTGTGTTAATTGCCATTCTGCAGCAGCAGCGAACGTAGCCACAGAAGCGGCTCAATGGCAACGATGACGGTAGTAAGGCTATAGACCCAGTGAGAGTAAAGGGTGCGTTTGTATACAGCTGTACATATTCGGCTTAACTGACTGGGGTGATGTTCTTGCTGCTCATGCTCTTCCAGTCAGTTCTGATCCTTCAGCTGGCTTCAATGGGTTGAGGGTTTAGGGTTTAGGGACCCTAAACCCTGAACCCTAAACCCTAAACCCTGTGGTCCGAGGCATGAACATGCAGCATCACACTCGAGCCTTAAATGCCGAGTAGCAACTGGCATCCCAACCGCTCCCAAACGCTTTCATCTGGTCAAGCCCCACCTTAGCCCCTGTAAAACTTACCTGTGAGGCCTACCTTTTTCCGGGCTCATATACATGACGGTGTCTTAACAAGAAGGGACCCTAAAAGGTAATGTAGAAGCCTAAATAACTACATTAGGTACCTGTCAGCTAGCTTCAACCCCGAGCCAGGGTTGAACGGCAACTTGCCCAAACAATCAAGCCTGAGAACCGTAAACCGTAAGCCTAATTTTAGGGGCTTGCCTTTGGCCTACTGACCTACAAAGGCTTTCCGTCATCCTGGAAATGATTACCAATCATATTTTGAATGGGGTTCCGTATTATATTTATTCTATATTGGGCCCGAAACCCTATTCTAATTGTTAAGGCTCCTATAGGCCCCTACATTAAACCCTACCAAAACCCTACGCGACAACCCTTCAACCCGAAACCTCCACCACGGGCTTCTGCCAATCCTCACTCTCCACCTGTGCCGAGGCGAACATTTGGCCACGGTGGATTCAGCGTGAGGAGCCCGGAACCCTAAACCCAACACAAAACCCTAAACCCTGAACCCCTAAACTTATAAACCCTACACCCTAAACCCTAAACCCCTAAACCCTAAACCTTACACCCTAAACCCTAAACCCTTCTCTAAGCCAGAACTCCGCAGCCCTGCAACCCAAGAGCACTGGAACCCTGGCTCCGCATGGAAGCCCGAATATTTATAGATGTTGTGCCTCAGGCTCCCGCAATAATCCCTAAGGGTCCATGTACCCAAATAATAGATACTTTGGCCCCAGAGTACCTATATAGGGACTACTTTAAGGCCTACGTATATACTATTTGGGTACATGGACCCTTAGGGTCAGGGTCCCGTAATATTGTTTTACTGTTCTACTATAGTTACACAAACCCTACTGCCTACATAACCCCAGGAGCCCTACTTCTACAGTAGGTTACCAGCCATATAGCAGGCAACCCAATAACATACTGTTTTTATTCAGACGCTCTTCCCGAAACCCTAATTCCAAAGTTCAGGAATCCTACTACATAAGCCCTAAACCCTAAATACCCTAAGCCTTTCAGGAGCCCTACTTCTACAGCAGCGTCTGTCATCAGACCATGACTGATCCATGACCTGGTCTGGTGGGTTCGGGGATGAAGCGATACGCTGCTTATGGTTTTGGGTTTCTATTGTGCTTAGAGGGTTTATGGTCTTGGGCTCCAGGGCTTAGAGTGTTTATGGTTTTGGGGCTCTTTGGTGGGTTCCTTTTTCGGGTGTTGGGCTTGCTGGGAAAGGTTTGGGGATTTTAGGATCATGGGTTCAAGGCCGTGGTCGTGAACAATTGCCCAAACCTTGCGGTGAGCCGGGTAGTCGAGCAGGATTTAGGGTTTAGGGCTTTGCCCTTGTTTTCGGCTTGCGTTTAGAGCGTAAGCTCCCAGCAAAGCCAGAGACCTTCAAGCACCAGAAACCAAGGTGGCAGGATCAAAGACATAAGGTCGCCTACCGTTACAAGCTTTTAAAAGCTTCCAGATACAGCCCTCATGAAACCCACAGGAACCCTCATAAGACCCCTTATAGGAAGCCTTTAATGAACCCTTCAGGAAAACCGTATGGAAAGACAAAGAAAGCTCGCACCCTAAACCCTAAACCCTAAACCCTCCAGAACTCTGGATTCCTTCGCAGCCAGACGAAGGAACATGCATGCAGAGCCGGGCAAGATGTGTATCTGGGCTTTGGAGTACCACACTTTAATACTTTTTTTTGGGGACCTGTTCCTGAAAGGAACCATTATGAAATACAAGTCTATACCTTTTTCCCTGGTTACTTCAAAGCCCAGGTATCTTCCACGGACCTCGTGCTGCATCGTCTATGCGTTGCAGACAGGCATAGGGTCCTAGGAATCTACATCGACATCGGGACTTGAGGTGAGCCTTTGCTTTCGGATCCTTAGCAGATTCTAAATCCCAAAGCCCAAGCTCCCAATTTGAGAGCTGATCTTAAACCCTAAACCCCTAAACTTATGAGCCCTACACCCTAAACCCTAAACTTCAAGAATCACCCTAAACACCTAAACTTATGAACCCTACACCCTAAACCCCAAACCCCTAAACCCTGATCTTCAAGAATCGTCTGCGGAATGCGAAGAAGCTGAAATTCGGCGAAGCTCATGTCGAGGTTCCAGAAGTCTGCTTGCTTGGGAGCTTCCCGGGACAATGTGGGCGGCGCGTGGTCGTTTAGGGTTTAGTTGTTTAGGGTTTAGGGGTTTAGGGTTTAGGTTTTTTTCGCCGGTGCGGTGCCGGATGCGATCTGGTTCTTCCTGTGCCTTCCCTCGAATGGGGAAGGTGTTGATGCTGCGCCGGTGTCCCGTATCCAGTAAAGGCTGATACACATACCCTACCTATAGTCTCCATTGTAGTTCCTTTTTGGGGATACCTTATAAAAATCCTTAAGAAAAGAATATATATATATATATACATATACATATATATATATATACATATTTGGTTAAACCAAAAAAGGAACTACATTGGAGACCCCTAAACCCTAAACCCT